GGGCCATACCTAAAAATATGTCAGTGGTCTCCAAATGGTGTAAGTCATAGGATGCTTTCTTCAGTGAGATTTCTCCTGGAAACAGACCACAGAAGAGCTGTTTTGCTCAAGTAGAGGAGAGAGAGCTGGGAGTCTGTCTTGCTCCCCCCCCGTTTCTGAGTTGCGGTTCTAGAAACATCTCCGCATCAAACTATTTTAAAACCACTGGGGCAGGTGTGACTTTCCAAGAAGCCAGGGAAGATTTCTCAGAGGATGGCATTTGAATTGAGAACGGGGTGCTCAAGGCCATTTGGAGCAAGAGACTGAGTGCAAAGGCTGGGCTTGGAGCACGCTTGTCTAGTTTCATATCCCGGAGCACTCTCTAGCATGGCTGCTATGTAGGGCTGTGTGGTCACGGTAAGACGTTTGCTCTGCTAGGTGAACAGAATCCACTCAGGAATCGCCTTACGGAGAAGGTGGGAAGTTTAGATGTCATTGCTACAAGCTATTGGAGGTTTTGTAACAGCACAGAACAATAATTGGGCAGGAGTTTAACATTTTCACTGACGCTTATAGGGAGCAAGTGTAGAAGTCAAAGCACCAGTGGTCTATTAGGGTGGTTGATGTAGCATGGAAACTAGGCTTGGGTTGTAGCGGTGAACACCTTGCAACTGAGAGGTGTGGCAGGTGTCTAGCATGCTACTCCGTGTCAGGCAAGGAAACATGGGAACAGCAGACTTGGCCAGGCTTGTCCCCGGCTTCCCACTGAAGCTCTAGCTTCATGTAGCACCATCTAGTCAACATCGATGCTGCTAACCACTCCTCTGGTTGTTTACTATTCACTGGACACTACGACACCAGGGAGGGAACATAAGTCTCTGCTTCAGCTCTCTGACTTCTCAGATGAAGGAACCAGAGGCTCAGAGCTGATGATAAACCCACATCTCTTAATCCCCTATCTGGATTATTTCTTTTTGCTTTGTTCTCAATTTCTCCTTTATGCATAGCTTATATTCCCTACTACGTCACGCCTGGCTTTTTCTGCTTTTTATTTTAGTTTTAATTAATTAGAGCAGGGGCCATCATATCTTATTCCCCTCTTTCTCTCACCAACATCTAGCACAGTGATCCATCTGAACAAGAGTTAAACACGTTTCTTGATTGGCTGTTTTGGTTCTGCCAAGCCCACTGCCAAAGAGCTACCCCGGCTCCGCCCATTGTCCAGACCTGATGCTGTGTACCAGCCTCATCTGCCCATCGCTCTCTGCAGCTGTCACTTCCGTACCAGCCAGGTTACGCTCACTCGCAGGCACCAGGTATTAGCCAAGCAGGCTCCAGGCCAAAGGGGAGGATGACTTGAGGGTAGGGTCTTGTCGTCCAGTCTGTTGAACTCTAACCACAGCTGATACTGGAGCCCACTGGAATCCCAGTAGCCTTTCTCAACTCCCCACTTTAAGTGCTCCCAGGGAGCGGAAATACCAAGTCTACGGCACGGCCTCCGAGTCTGAGTCTGACTCTTCATCTTTCCTGTAGAGTGAGCTGAACACGGACTTGTTTCCGAGGCCTCCCTGTGTATCCCGGAGGCTTTCTACCCCTTTGTGGATCTTCTCTCCCTGCAAAAGTCCCTGCTTTGGTCTAGTTGAGGGGATGATGAAGCTGTTGAGAGGGAACATCTCTGTTTTCTAAAGTCTATCTAAAGTCCTATGTGACCCCTGACATGGCCAGAGCTTCAGTTTATAAGATACTGACTCGGTTCGCAAATCTGTCTCAGAACGCTCTACCCTGGTCTAGATCTATGATTCCCAGTGTCCAGAACAACCCAAAGACAGGTCAGATCTAAACTTATCCCACTGCCAGATGATACTAGGCAAGTCCCTGCACATGTTTGTACATATACTTATTCTGTCCTGTCTTAGGTACCTTTCTATTGCTTGATGGACGGAGGCACCTTATAGGAGGGAGGATTTGCTTGACTTGAGTTTGCAGAGGGATAAGGGTCCATCACCATCGCTGTGGAGAAGCATGGTAGCAGGCAGGCATGATGGTTGGAGCTGCAAGCTGAGAGTTAAAAGTTTCAACTGCAATCACAAGCTGACAGAGAGAGAGAGAGAGAGCAAGAGAGAGAGAGAGAGAGAGAGAGAGAGAGAGAGAGAGTTTAAACCTTAAGACCACACCTGGTGACGTATTTCTTTCAGCAAGATCACATCTCCTACACCTACCCAAACAGTGCCACCAACTGCAGACCAAGCATACAAGCATCTGAGCCTATGGGGGACATTCTCATTCAAAACAGCACATGTCCTAAGTCTCCATGTTAGAAAATTGAACAAATTGCACACTGACAGATGGGCTTCCGTGTCAGCAACGGGAAGACTATTCACAGTACTCGAGAAACAAGCAGGAAGCTCTGATTTTTGAGAATCTAGAGTGTGTGTGTAACACTTGCATCAAGACACGGCTCTCTTTCCTCTGCTCATGAACAAGAGATTCTGGTCTGGAAAGTTTGTATTGAGACTTCATCATCTTAAGATATATATATATATATATATATATATATATATATATATATATATATTCACAGTGTGGCACATACCCATATATTTTAGTCATATGACTCCTGTGCCCAAGTTGTCCCGATGCCTTACTTCCATTCTCTCTACATTTTCTAACTCCTCCCAGATCCTCCCCACTTTCCCACCCACCCAACTCCACGCCCTTTCTTCCTCTCTTCAGAAAATAAACAGGATAAAAAGAAAAATCGCAAGAAACACACAGACACATAAAAATAAAACCCATGAAAACACAAGCAGTCATTGACTAATATATTGATTGGACATCTTGGCTCTGCTCTCACCTCCCCTAACTGCCCCCTACCTAGCTTTCTCCTAGTTGCCCCCTTATGCTCAACAGTCCTCTGTACTTCTCAGTGGTCCTTGGGAATAAAGGTTGGAGTCATTAGGGTGCCTCTGAGAAAGGACACGCTTCTCAACCCAGAGACTGCATTTGCACAGTATTTGAGCTCATGTGGGCCCCTCCTCGCCACATAAACAACTCTAGACCTTGGTCTTCATTCCCAGGTGAGAGATCAATAGATCAAAAGTATGAATATTTTAGCAATCATTCTCTGTCAAGCAATACCAGCCTACATTTTCCATAGACCTATTGGATGGTCCATATTTCATTGCCTTTAATCAGCTTTGGAGAGGATAAAACAAAACAACCAACAAACTAAAACAAAACAAAAACAAGCACAGAAAAACCAAAACCACCAGACAGAGGGTGAGGAGGTATCTTGGTCAGCAAAACCCTCACCACAACAGCATGAGGGCCTGCATTCCACCCCAGAACCCAGCTGGAAAAGTCAGGCACACACTTGTAATGGCAGCACTGAGGATGTGGACACAGCTGCCTGTGGCTCCCTGGCCAGATAACCTTGTATACATAGCACGTACCAGGTCAGTGAAAGATCCCACATGAAAGCAAGGTGAATGGCACCTGAAGACTGACACCCAAGGTTGACCTCTGACCTCCATCCACATGCACAGACACATGCACCTGCAAACATGTGTTCAACACACACACACAGAGAGAGAGAGAGAGAGAGAGAGAGAGAGAGAGAGAGAGAGAACCCGAAAATCCCAAACAAAACTTTGCCATTTAGATAGATTATTACATCCTGTCACTGTACTTCGAATTTTCTTTTTGTCTTCCTTTTTTTTTAAAGATTGACATTTATTTTTTATTTTATATTGGGGGGGCTGAATGCGCACATTAGTACTGTACTCTAAGAGGCTGGAGACCAGAGGGCTAGGATCCCCTGGAAGTGAAATTACAGGCCTTTGTGAGTTGTCATACGGGTCCTGGGAATCAAACTTGGGTCTCCTCTGGAAGAGCAGCAAGTGCTCTTAACGACTGGCCACCTCTCCAGCCCCTGTGCTCTGAATTTTTAATTCTTGGATTACGAATAACATTGGGCACATTTTATCTTCACTGCCCTTTCATGCTTCTTCTGTGATCTGAAATTTTGACTGGCTACACTTATTTCTCCTTCGGTGTAGCCCCTTTTCCTAACATTCATAAACAGATCATCTGTTCTATCTGTATCAAGCAATCACCTTGGAGAATGCAGAATGCAGCTGGAACTTTGCTGGACAATTTTATCCCATTCCACCTCTTCTAATGATCTTCTAGTTGGAGGTTAATTTGAGGAATATATATTGTATATTATATTATGTTTACATGTGTATGGTGAGGAATATATTTTAGAGGGAATCCTAATAGCAAATAGATTTGTTGAGTT